TTTTTTTTTTTTGGTGGAACTAGGGATTGAACTCAGGCCCTGCGCTTGCCAGGGAAGCACTTATTCCACTAAGCCATCTCCCCGCCCCACCCCCATAATCTAATGGAGTATGTAAGCTTCTTAGCTGGAGTATGCCTTTCCTTCCCTGGCACATGATAACCTTCCTCAATCCTATGTACAACTGGATAGTCATTTCAGCACATGTGAGGTCGAGTGCAGAGTGCAGAAACTGTGGTTGTCACACGAGTTATCAAGAACTCCCAAGAGCAGGAGCCTCACCAGTACTTTTCAGTTTGTTTAAACTGACAGGTACCTGCAGTACTGCTGTAGGCAGGCGTGGTTTCAGGCTTGGTAACTGGGCGTGATGAAGTGGCGCCGCAAACAGAAGCACTGTTAGTGGTGCTGCTGCAGCAAGACAGAGCCCAGTGCTGAGTAACAAGGCTGTGTGGTGGGATGTGCCATGGATTTGAGAATGGCAAATCCAAGAGAGGTTTTAAAAGATCAAGTTAAACTAGGCTGTTAGGAATATAGTGAACAGCAATCAAAGAGGATCCCAAAGTTCTTCACAGTACACTTAAGAACCAATCAACAGAAAAGGGACCCTCAGAATGAGTTTTGAGTCAGAGATGAGAGATGTCATTAGATTAAGGCATGGTGAATGTGAGATGACCTACATCTGGAAAGGTCTGGACGGCTCAGCCAGGGAACTGGGGCTCGGGCTTGTTGTCCTGGGTGGGCTCAGTCCCCATCTCTACATAGTGGAGGTGTGAATAAAGTTTGGTTGAAGTCGTCATTGTGGACAGCTCTGCAAAAGGAAAAAAGCAAGACAGGTATGGAAATATGGTAGAAAAACATTCTTCTTGACATCATGGACAAGGAAAAGAGACCTTATTGCCAGTCCTAGATCCTTGTTCTAAAGGGGCAGAATGAAAGTATGACTGTAGGGGCCGGGGAGATGGCTCAGTAGAATAAGTGCTTCCCCGGTAAGCATAAGGGCCTGAGTTCAATCCCCGGTTCCACCACAAAAAAAAAAAAAAGGACTATAACTCTCTCCTAGCACTACCATCTGGTCTGTTTATAACCCAGAAAATAATAACCTCATTTGCTGCTTTAATAATGTGGGATTAGTGTATGATTTAATAATGTAGGAATACAATTACCCATAAGGATATTTTAAAGAATTATTTAAAAAGTGAAGGCCACTCTGCTGGAAATGGAGAATCAAGTCTGAAAAATAATCCCTTTTAAAATTTATCTTCTAGTACTCAGTTAATAGGACAGTACTGTATCATACTTCTGTTAATGTAAAATATCTTGTCTGCTTTATGATAACGTAATTGCACCTGTGCTTTGTCAAAGCATTTTCAGTGATACTGTTTTAGAATGTTCTTTCCAAGTGATGACTGAAAAGCTACTACCTCAAGTTACCAAAACCATTAGCAGGACTTTGCTAGGGTTTTTGTTTTAGTGGATATGCTAGATTGCTCAGATGACTGCCGAACCTGGGAAACTTGTTTATGATGCTAACGTAGAGCTGTTGGTCTTTTTATATAAATATAAATATACATACAGATATCCATGTGTATAATTCAAATTTTTGGAAACTTTATCTGTACTGTCAGCATTGGAAAAAGTACCCTAGTTTTCAGTGTTTGCATTGTACAGAATTAACAGCCATATTGGTGTGGATTTGATTACAAAAACTAATGAAGTATCAAAATAATGAAAATAAAAAGGGCCACACCTGGGGGACAGCCACAGTGGGAGGCAGCGTAAGAACCCTGAGAATGCATGTGTGTAAAGAGGTACACATGGCATCTTAGGGGGAGCCTTGGGTAACACTGACATTGTAAGTTGCACAGAGAAGAGACTAAGGAGGAGTAACTAGGGTGGAACTGGTTGTAGAGTGGCTGTTGTATGTTATGAGTTGGTGCGGAAAGAAACAAAACTCAATGAATGTGGCTTCAGAGTTCTCGCTGAGCTTAGTCTCTAAGTGAGTCCAGAGCCACAGAAACATCTCATATTTTTTGAGAGCTAAAGACAGGCTAAGGAATCTGCATAACTGCTTTGGTGAACACAAACTACCCTACTGACTTCAGTATTTACCTAACAGTAAGTTTATACAGTTCTAGCCATTAACATCCCAAGCAAGGGATGAAACAACAAACAGGGCACCAGCCAGAGAAGCTGTCATCTGCAGCTTCGAATCCCAGCTTGCTGGAGTTTACAAGCGAGACAACAGTTCTCCTCCAGCTGTTTATTGCTCCTTGCTCCCTTGGGACATTATTAATATCTATATTTCTATAGTGGCTCTGTGCTTGGTACAAGCAAGTAGGTTATGGTCCCTCAGTGCTTCCAGAGGAGAGATACGTAAATTTAGTGGAAGTCTTGGCATGTGAGTGGAACCTCAACTCTTGTAATGAGAGTCTTTCTTCCCCACAGGGAATCACTTCCGTCACTGCCATTACAGTGCTTTACTTCCTGTCCCGGAGAATTCCCCTTCCTCGAAGGACCAAGATGGCAGCAGTGACTCTGCTAGCCTTGGCGTACACACAGGTATAGACCATTTCCCTTGGGTCTGATGGTGTCTCCTAAACAAAGTTAGAAAGGGAGGGTGACAAACTGAAAGACAATATTTTTATTATTCATAATGGATTATTTAGAAT